TGCATACCCTCCTGGTATTACTGTTCACCTTATAGGTCTGTCAATCATTTGGCTGCCAGTTAAATTACAAGGGTTAAGTTCAATTCCTAGCTTGAAGGATGTCTAAAAGTCATAGTCTCAGGGGTTCAATCAGTCTGCATCAGATCAGTAAACCTGGTCTTTTTTATGATTTTGAGTTTTATTCCACATTTTCCCTTACTTTACCCAGGACCTCTTATTGTGATCTCTTTCAGAGTGGTCAGTAGTGGTAGCCAGGTACCACCTAGTACTTCTGGTCTCAGGGTTGTGGCAGCTGGGGTTCACATGCTCCATTAATACTTTGGACTAATTGTTTTCTGTATCTTTGATTTTCTTCACTCTTCCTTGCTCCAGACAGGGAGAGACCAATAGTTGCATCTTAGATGGTCACTCACAAACTTTTAAGATCCCAGTCACTATGTACCAAAGTAGGATATAGAACATTGTCTTTGTGGACTATGTTACGCAAATTGACCTCAGTTCTCCTGAGACTATAGTCCTGAACCTCCATACCCAGCAACTCATTCCCTCAAGGTATTTTATTATGACTAGACATTTTCATAACTTTGCCCCCTGTATGTTCTACTACATTCATAGATATATTTGCAGCACATATAAATATATAGCTAGAGATAGCCTCTGCCAAACCTGTAAATATTTGTGGATGTAATCCCATTCACCTTCCTACCCCTGCTAACCTTGAGTCTGTCACTCACTCTTACTCCCTCATGTCTGATGAAGATTTAACACATAAAATTTATCTAAACAATTATCTCAACATCATATATTGAATAATAAATTCTTGATAGTGCCATTCCATTTTCACAAAATACACTCTTATAAAAAATGTGTCTTCTTTCTGGGTTTTTCTGATCTACCAATATTCTATGTTCTTAGCTCAGTCTGATATTTTTTTTCTTTCTGATTACTCTAAAATCTCAAGAACTATGTTCTTTTTATTATTATTACTATTATTTGAATTTTTAAAATGAAACGTAGAATAATTTTCCCAAAGTTGTGAATATATTTCCTTTGAACTATATTAAATCTATAAATTTCATAGGAAAAAAAATGGCAGTTTATAAATGGCCTTCTTATCTAAAATCAGGTTATGTATCTCTTTTATCATCACTTATTCAGAACTTCACCTACATTTTAATAGACTTTTATAGTTTTATTTGTGACACTGTTGTTGTTAGGTGGCATTGAGTCAGCCCCAACTCATAGCAGCTCCTCCTTGGGTTTCCAAGGTGGTATCACTACAGAAGCAGATTGCCCAACCTTCCTTCTGAGGAGCAGCTGGTGGGTTTGAACCTCCAGCCTTCTGGTTAGCAGTTAAGTGCCTTAGGCACTATGCTACCAGAGCTCTTTTTGTGACACTACTTGCTAAAAATCATTACCATTATTGTATCAAATATTCAGTTGCTATAGTAAGTTGGATCATTTTTTAAATCACATTTTCTAAAGTTATTTCTGGTGCATTTGTGCTTGCTTTTCTTTTATCTTTTTTGTCTTTGGTGGTATTTGAGAATCCTTTTATAAATCCTTCAATTTTCATTAACTCTTCTGTGCATTCTATATGTATTAATAATATAATCTACATTTTTTTTTTCTTTGTCAGGCCTTACATTTGTAAGAATGTTTAAAAGAATATTCAGTAATAATTTTTTATTATATTTTTAGTGGTAAATCCATACATATTTAACCAATAAATAAACTAATCGCTCATGATACATTAAATGTATTGTGGCATTTTATGTAGGACTCGACATACCAGCCCCAAAAAGAATCTGGAGAAGCCCTAATCCAGCACTACACAATCAGCAGTTAAACAGCTGGGACCAGAAAAATATAGACAGTACATCCAACCAACATAGAAGAAGCTGTTCGAACTTTAAAGATAAAAATTAAGTAGAGTTTAGATTTTTCGCTTATGTATTTGTTTTTCTTTTGTTTTGTCACTAGAAACTAAGAATGATGGATACAATGAAGTAAAAAATTTTAACATGATTAAAGACTATCAAAAATGATGATGATCTGTGAGGGTGTAAACAGAAAGGCCATGCTTAGACAGAAGACTAACCAGGCAAACCACTAGCAGAAAGTGTATATCTCTATTAAATAATAAATTTTGGTAATGAGCTTTGTGTGCATAATTTATCTTGCTCATATAGAATTATATGGACTCATTAACAGAGCTCTAGGTTCAATTTCTAGACAATGTTTCCTATAGTCTACACATTACCTGGAAAAGAATCTTCTGGGTGGACTGTCCAGTTAATAAGCAAATCCCCAGGCCCCACTGCAGACAAAATGAATCAGAATGGTGCAAGCAGGGGGAAAGGAAGGGATGGGATAAGAAACCTGCAATCCAAAGAGGCCCCTTAGAGGCTTCTCATGAGAACTAAAATTAGCATAGTGCCTAAGGCACTTGACTGCTAACCAGAAGGCTGGTGGTTCAAACCCCCCAGCCACTCCTCGGAAGGAAGGTTGGGCAATCTACTTCCATAGTGATACCGCCTTGAAAACCCAAGGAAGGGTCGCTATGAGTTGAATCCAACTCAACGGCAGTGTTTGTTTTTTTTGGTTTTAAAGAGAGAGGAACAGAGAAACTAAGAGAGGCAGAAAGAGACATAGAAGAACAAAATTAGAGACAGCTAGGAGGAAAATTTTATGCTTGCACTAATGGTGCAAAGGTATTATAAATCAAACTGATAAAAGCTGAATCTTATATTCCCATTAAAATATTATAATTAGACCAGGAGACTTTTCAGAGAATGGAAGACAAACATTCTATTCAATCACCTACAAGTTATGTGTACAAAGTATTGCAAAGGGTATGAATAACAAGTAAAGCAATACATAACCCATCACATTTAATTATATTAATGAAATACTACTAGAGTCTACCATACAAATGTATTGTCAGTCTTTGTAATTCATACATTAGTTACTTTGCAATAAATCAGAAAATGAAGAAACATCTTCATCAGTCATAAAATTCAGGAAGGTTTATGGAGGATAGTTTTTCTCAGCTATCCATGAGAAAACTGTGGAGTAGACTTAGGGCCACTCTGGGGCTTTTGCAGGAAGGAATCTAGGAATGTCAGTTTGATATTCTCCCTGTCAGGCTCCTAGTATAAAGAGAAGAGATCAGGTTGTTGATTGCATATTTGAATGTCAAATGTCTCTCTTCTCTTCTAACTGCCATCTCATCAGCTCTAGCGGCTTCACCTCATGTACCCTGTTTTCAATGCATCCTAGCTTTTAAAATTCATGAAGCACTCCTTATTCATACTAAATGATTCACCTTTTGGTTCCCTATCACATGGCAAAAAAGCCTCAATGTTTTAACTTGAATTGTGGCTACACTCAAAGGCACACAAGGCTGAGTATGAATTTTTAAAAATGTTACCATGTTGGTGATCATTGTCTTGAAATGGTGGATTGAAATTGAATGCCTTGTGATAGGTTAAGTTAAATATCAACTGAGTTGGGCCTGATTTTGGTGGCTGGGCAGCTGCATGTAGTTATTTTGCATGACAAGATTAGTAATTAACTCTATGGTGGAATTTACTGGAGAAGCTGAGTAGCTCCTTTAGAGATGTGGTCTGCTTCCAGTTTTATACTGGAATATTTCATATTGCTTCTTTTATAGAAGCAAATTTGAGGAAGGTCTCTAGCTTTCAGAACACTTGAATCCTGCATGTAACCAAGTCATTATTCAGCCTTCCATGTTGTCTGCCAATCTTGGGACTGCTAATGGGACTTGAATCAATGGCCTGCCATGTGGGTTGGTAATAACTGGACTGTGCCATTTTATCTGTCAACCTTGGGCTTGTTAACCTCAGCAGCCAGCAGCTTCCTGAGTGAAGAGACACCTCTAGCTTCAGTGGGATAGGAGCAAGAGGAAGAGCTGAAGCCCAGGGTGGAGGGGCTTTCACTCAACCTCTAGACCTGGCATTTTGAACTCGGACTTCTAGCCTCCAAAACTGTAAGAGAATAAACTCCTCTTTGTTAAAGCCATTCCACCTGTGGTGTTTTCTGTTAGAGTGGCACTAGAGGTAACCGAAACATACTCACATTCAAAAGAAGTTGTTGTGCACCTACTAGAAACCAGACACTATGGATACCAACGATGCACAGTGCCTGGTGGGAGGAGCTTACAATTAATAGACTACAGATTGCTTTTCCTTTTATCTGCCATTCCTAAAAGACATATGAATAGCGTGTCTCAAAAAATCAGACTACTCCAATCTCCAAAATACTCAAATGCATGGGAGCTTATATCATCAAAGAGCATGGCCTTTCAAAGTATTAATGTGTGAAGTTGATATTAATGAGGCCATATGTGCTCAAAGGATGTTTGAGTCTGCTCAGAGCCATTTTCCTAGTGAACAAGAAAAATAGCATCATTATTTTTCAGCTTCTTTCTTCCTTCTTTTCCTCCTTCCCTTTTCCCTCATTTGCTCCAACCAATCTGGCTTCTCCCTCCTCTGATACCACAGCCAAAAGTCCAAAGCTCAAAGGTCCTTACCAAGGGCTACGTCAAAAGACCTGGGAGATGGCTTTGAGGTCGGTGTGAATCTGAGGCAAGGAACATGATGAGGGACTATGCAGCACCTCATAAGTGCAGGGGACTAACTATTTAGTAAGTTTTATACATGTGTAGCCTACCTACTATCTGTGCCAGCAATGTGTGTAATTGCCTAAATATGGTTCATGCAAATCTCCACATAAACCAAGCAGCCACTCAGTGTCTATGGCATATGTGTACAGCATCACCTTCAAGAACCTGTCTGCACCTGGCAGCTACACAGCCCAGTGTGCTAGGTGTAGGAGACCAGGACCTTCTTCTTGCACTAGTTATTCTCATACCAGTCTAGCTGGAACCTTACAAAACACTTGAGTTCTGCTGACACATTGCAAGTTACAGCAAGTGATGGCCCTTACAGACTAGGTTAAAAAACAAAATGTCTTACCACAGAGTCTTTCACCTTCTTTGGGAGAGGGTCCGCAACTGGCTCTTCTAAATTTTGATGTAAAAATTTAGGAAATAATTTGCATTGAATAAAGGACCTGAAAGTGGAAAAACATAGATTTTACTTTGAGAAATATGTATCCATACATGTCTGAGGTACATGGCTTTATGAGAGAACTCACACCCACAAAGGTCAAATACAAGTGTTCTTTCCATTAAATAATAATTAATCAAAATGGTCACAATATTGAAGTGATCGGAAGGCAATATTTTTATTTTCAAATTTCACAGTAATGAAAGCACTCAAGCATCAAGGTCTGGGTCCTCCTTCAGCAGTTAACTCAGCTCGAGGATTGCTGATTATTATGAGCCACAGCAAAACTCAACATTCCAAAAGGGTAAAAAAAAAAAAAAAAATGACCATGAAATTTGTGCAAACCACGTTTGACTATTCTTTTTCTCATTTTTCTATGCCTTTCATCTTGCTACACCTGGCAACCTAAAATTACAGCCTTCAAACAATTATACTTATCTTAAGTCAAAATCTTTTATAGATTTGGACAAATTATATGAGATATATGCTGAGGAAAAGACCTCAGGCTCAATAATAGTCTACAGAGACTTTTTTTTTTTTTTTTTAAATTAAGACTTATACAGTGCAAACAGTAAAACAAAAACAATCATCCAGATAAGAGAAACTATCAGCATATACCCCATACAAAAGCAGATGAAATTTCATCAATCTCAGTGATGGTGTTCATTACATATGAAAGAGAGCAAAGAAAATCACCCAAAATTATGATTGGTGGCAGGTCAATTCATCACTGTCACAGGTAGGACTAAGAAGTGTAGAAAGGAACATTATATAGCCATAATTTCAGTTTCAAAAAGATTATAGGATTGCCTATTTTCTATAAATCATTAAGGACACGCTCAGGTAAGGTCTTTGTGTGAGAAGGGCATGCCCGGGCAAGTGTCTTAATTCTTTGTGTGAGCATATTTATGCTAATTACTTAATCTGTTTTCAACTATATTCTTCCTGAAGGCAAGCTGTCATTTCCTGGTCTAGCCTGGACTTATCTAAGCATAGCCACATTGTTGGTTTAATGGCCAACAAGCACAGGGAAAGTAACAAATAACACAAATGGCATCTGAACTTATGTCAAGATTCAAAATAGATTTAGGGCTCCCACTGTAAACTTTAGCCTTCTACAAACCAAGTGCTTTAGAAATTAAGCTCTCATACACACCCTCCTCTTGATTATGGATTTGATTTAAAATTCTTTGATCACACTTCAGTTGTTATGCTTTCTTCTGCACAGGTTGGTTGATGACCCTTTTAAATGGCTGCTTGTTTTAGAACAAGATTTTAAGACCCCAGACACTATTCTTTTTGATAGTTAGGCACCATCTCATTTCTTCATTGTGCTTTGCTATAGCACTCAGTCTTTCGTGATTGCCTTATGAGGATAAGTATGGAGCAAGGGCACACTCAAAGAACTACTTGAACTATGGTTAGGTTATAAACCTTACAGTGGGATCTTTCTTTAAAAAAAAAAATTTTAATGTATTTTATTGAAATATAATTTATGTACAGTGAAACACACAAAACTAAAGTGACGGGTAAATACATTTTTTTTGCAATGTTCTCTCCTCTCGACTCCCACCCCTGACAACCAAAAAAGAAAGTTTCCCTCCATATATAAACCTCTCCTTGATGCTCTACAATAACGAACTACCATTATGTTTGTCCTTCTGTGATTTGACTTATTTCACTCAGCATAATGTCCTCCAAATTCATCCATATTATGTGGTGTTTTGCAGACTCTACATTATTCTTTAGTGCTGCATAGCATTCCATTATGTGTATGTACCATAGTTTGGTCATCCACTCTTCTGCTGATGGGCACATAGGTTGTTTTCACCTTTTTGCTATTGTAAATAGTGCTGTGATGAACATGAGTGTGCATATACCTGTTGCTTTTCTGGCTCTCACCTCTCTAGGATATAAATCTAGTAATAGGATTGCTGTGTCAAATGGTATCTCCTATTTAAAGTGGGATCGTAAGTCCATCTGTAGATTGTATTTTGCCTATATAAATTACTCACTTCATCGGCAGCATATTAGCTTTCTGAGAAATTATATTAGAAGTAACCTTCATACAACATTTCATAATTCTAATAATAATAATTACAACAAGTATCATTAATTCAGGAGCTCTGGTAACATAGTGCCTAAGGCACTTGACTGCTAACCAGATGGCTGGGGTTCAAACCCACCAGCCATTCCTTGGAAGGAAGGTTGGGCAATCTACTTCCATAGTGATACTGCCTCAGAAACCCAAGGAGGGGTCACTATGATTCAGGTCCAACTCGATGACACATAACAACAACATCATTACTTTAGTCAATAGTAGAGATTATAATACTGAGAAAAATATAAAGAAAAATTTTTCCATTAAAACACATGGAAAGGTTTATCTATACAAATTAATAAAACTTAAGTGATAGAACAAAACTAATTCAAAAACAATGAAGGTTAGGTCCAAAGCAATTATTTCAATAATATCCATTCACTAAGGGTGAGCTATTAGTGTACAGACCCTAAAGGCATGTGAGACTAAAGCAACAAATATGAAAACAGATAGCAAATATATCCATAGTCTATATAGAAAATTATTATGAGTCAATAAACTCAAGTTGCCAAGGTAAAGCAACCTCAAAAGCAATAAAGATTTAAACAAAGTCCAATAACTTCATGGGGTTGCATTCAATAGAATGAGTGAAAGGTAAAGCTATTGTCTGATTCTACCCACTAAGGCATTCCAGCTTCAATATTAAGTTTCCAGACAACTGACAAGTACAAATGAATGCTTTAGTTTCTTTAAGTTATGACAAATGCATCTAAGTTTTAACATCTTCCGATTTGGCTGCATATGGATTGGTGAGGATCACAAGGATCAGTTTATTCCAGCAGAGTTCTAACGAGTCCTTTAACTGATATCTTTTCCAATACATATAATATTTTGGGGCAAAATCAGGCAGGCCTGGAGAATGTAGTTTATCAAAGGCCTTTCTAACCTCTGAAAAATATTAAGGTTTGACAATACTTATTGCTTGGCATTTTTGCAAGGTAACCTAAAGTTCAGGTAGCCTAAGGCATGAGACATCCTGAGCCACCAAAAGCAGAAAACATTCAGGTAAGAGCTGTAAAAGGTACATGATTAGCAAGATAATGATGGACTCCTTCTTTTACTTGTGCTTTGATTAACCTATTTAACACATACCAACTATTCTTCCTCAGGGTAAGCTTCTCCTCCCTTGGTTACCCACCAAAAGTCATGGGTCACTTTCTCAGAAACAGAAGTGGAGCCTAAAGGAAAATGGAGTCTTGACTAAACCTTATGTCAACCATTTTAATTAGGCTAAGTGTCCCAATTCTAGGGTGATGTCACACATTTTCCTTTTTTCCAATCATGAATTTCCACAGAAATTCTTTGATCATCATTATAAGAGTGCCTTCCTCCACTTGGACACTCTACTTCAGTAATTTTAAATTAGGTAAGTGCAAGACAAGGCCACACTGGAGGAATCATTTGATTTTCTAAAAGATTGACTCTAGTTGTGAGGTTGATCTCATCTGAGAACTTAGTTTTTTCAAGATGTGTAATTTCCTGTATAGTAAAGGCAGTGAAACTTTGATTATAAGCATTAGACAGGCATTTTATATAACATTGTCTTGAAAACCAATTGATATAAATATTAATTTACCCTAAACTTAGCTTTCAGTCTGATCTTTGGCCTCTGTTTCTCAAAACAGACTAAATTTTTCAAAACAGCACAATGCCCAGAGCAAAATGGTCCTACCAGTTTATCTGAACCACTGTTTGACTCAAAAGCAGCTTTTAGGCACCAATTTTTCTGAGACTCAAGGTTCTAAAGGACATGTAAGGGCAATGGCCTGTATGAGTTACCTCAACTTCTGTGAAAACCAGAAATCTGTACAGTGTACTAGGAGGTAGAACAGACATCAACAACAATATTTGTCCACTTGTTTGAAATTACCCACAAAACTAAGACCCTAAGGTCTTTGTGAAAAGGACAAGTCCATAAGACATTACAATATTGAAACCCATTAGTGAAATAGTTTAGGAGAAAGGAGGAAAATTCTTTCTTACATCCAGAAAATAAAAACTTAAAACATCATCAATAGTCCCACAAAAATTTCATAGTAATTCTTAAGTTAATTTAGTCCTATGTAGTTAATTTCTGTTCCTTGTAATTCTGGATTAGCCACAATCTGTGAACCTATTACTTTCTATAACAGAGTTCTGGAAATCTTGATTCAGTCTAGTGGCATATACATTCAAAATATTACAGTCTTTTTTGTAAGTCTAATATAGTCTATTATTTTGTTGGCATATTTTGATGCAGCATTTCAGCAAGTCAGCAAATAAAAACTTGCCTGCAGACAACAAAATTTAACATGGCCAAGATCAAATTCTAAAAATAGGACATTTAATGAAAGACCTGATAGAGATTAAGTACAAAACTAATGTAAAGCAGGGGACTTTCAGCAAGACTGAATAGGCAAACAGGCTACACAGTACCTCTACAACAAAGAAATGAGAAACCAATTGAAACAGATATAGAAGATAATCTTAGAACTCTGAGCTTTGAAGGGAAGGATAAAGAAATGGGTTAAATGCCAACTAGTAGAAGAACCTGAGGGAAAACAATGAGTAAGGGGGCAAATGGAGCTGTAGACTGTCAGCTGTCCTGACAACCTGATTTTGAACTTTAAAATAAGCTTGTCCAGGTGCCCATTTTGAACATTTACCATCGACATTCAGATCTGGGCAGCAAGTTAAGAATTGGCATTGCTTTCCCGAGGACTACATGGGCAACCACACTGGTGGCTGAGGACTAGAAAAGAAAACACCAAAAAAGGAGACAGAGCTGTGGACTGTTGGCTGTCCTTATGGCATGGCCATTTCGAATAATTGCAAGGAGCATTCCAATCCAAGCAGTAACCTAAGAATACGTTACACTTGTCAAGGACAGCATGGGCTACTGCACTGGAGGCTAATGACTAGAA